CCAGTGAAACCTCCTGGGAAGCGCACCCAGAAATGCAGCCATAGTTCAGTGCAGTCTTATGGGCACCAGCAGGGATTTGGGGAACTTGCAGGCCACTGGAGCTCAGGAGATATTAAGGTAACTCACACAGAAAATGTGAGGACAAAGGACAATTTGTCGGCCGCCGATGAAAGGAGGAGTATTTCTAAAGATGTGATTGTTCCCTGGTGTTGAATTTATCTGATCAACACAATCCAAGTTCAATAGTTAAAATAGTTTCTAAAACCACATTACGATCAAGTTACCATTGGTTCAGCTGTGGCACTGGGCCTGTTCTGCCTGGAGCTCTGAAACCCTGACCATAATCTCCTCACCTTCCCTTACACCACAGCCGTACCCTCTTCACTTGGCCCTGCCTCTGCGGTTCCTCGGGCCCCAAGCTTCATCCCTAGCACCAGAGTGGATGGGAAACCCATGGTGTCCAATCTCAGTGGAGCCCCTCAGCTGCCACAGCTGCCCTGTTGTCTCATTCACCCCTGGTCAAACCTTCAGCAGGTATCGTACCACCTGTTGATGCTCTCCAAGGCTGGCCCCTCTGAGGGCCAGCCTCCCCCTCCCCCACATATACACGTGCTCACACACATGCTCACTTTCATTCACACACATTTTGTGTATAAACAAATTCTCACACACACCAAAAAACACTCCTACACACTCATCCACATAAACGGTCTTACATAAACACATATACTCTCACACTCACACTCTCACACACTGTCATGCACACAAACCCTCACACACATCCTCTCACACATACACACACACACACACAAACACACACACTCATGCACATGAACTCTCACACACACACACTCATGTGCACAAACTCACACACTCACGCACAGACACACTCTAACATACATATGCACGTGCATACACACACATTCTCAGGACCAATCCATTTCTGCCATCTTTCCCTCCTTGTTTTCAGCCCAAAGTTAACCCTGTCAGTGCTCATTCCCTGTCCCCAGTGCCCTGCTGTGACTCACAAGGCTGTCTGCTATGTCCTTTCTCTAGTCTTAAGTCTTCCCCTCATCCTGGCTTCTTATCTCACATATGCCACCCCCCCCCCAAAAAACTCCCGCAATCTGATGAAGGCAGCTGGGAGACCAATCTTTTTTTTTTTTTTAAAGATTTTATTTATTTATTTTACAGAGACACAGCGAGAGAGGGAACACAAGCAGGGGAAGTGGGAGAGGGAGAAGCAGGCTCCCCGCTGAGCAGGGGTTCTGACACAGGGCTCCATCCTGGACCCTGGGATCATGACCTGAGCCGAAGGCAAATGCTTAATGACTGAGCCACCCAGGTTCCCCTGGTGTGGGACCAATCTTAAGAAACATCATCCAACATTTTATTTTCCCCCTTCTATAGGCCCAGAGCTGCCATCACAGACCAAGCACAGGGCATCTTCTGGCTTGTTCCCTAGAGTAGCCTGCACCCCAGTTTACTCCCTACATTTGATTCTTACTCACTTCCAGCTGCGCCTGCTTTGTGCTGTCTATCATGTCTGTTCTCCAAGCAAGAATGCCAAACAGCACCTCCACCATCACTTGAAAAGTCTAGGCTTCTCTTCCTATCATTCAAAACCCAAAAAACTAATCTTTTCCTGCTGATCCATCTTTATAACTCTCCCTCCAACACAGAGTCGTGGTTCAGATGGCTCCCTTACCGATTCCTCTGTAAAAGGGGTTCTTTCTTATTTATCCTCTTCCTCTAAATTTAGCCCACCCATTCTTCAAGGTCTATCTGACACCCCACACCCTTGATTCATCTTCCTGTCATCTGACCAGTGCCCAGCAAATTCCAGGCACTGTGCTCAGAGCATGGTCCCTTCCACTCAGATCTCCTGATCTGACTTGGGGGGAGGACAAGACATGAACAGGTAGCCCCAAACCAGTAAATATCCAATGAGTTATTGAGATACTATCATTTGCCATCAGATCCCCAGTGCCCAGCACATAGTAGGTGCTCAGTGATATTTGTTAAACTTTAATGGACTGAACATAAGAACTTGGGGAGGTCAGGTTTTCAATCATGGAGAAGACATAAAGTTTCCAGTTGGAAATTGGTCTTTCTTGGATGGCTAGGTTACCATGTTGATGTAAGTGGTTATGACGTTCCAGGAAATTTCAAGAAAAGCTCATGGAGTCATGGGTAAATCTGAGCCTTCCTTCTGAGAAAGGGAGAACAAGTTGCTCATAGGAGAGAACTGGAAAGTGACGTGATGTGTTGGGGTTCAGGAGCAAATAGTCAAAAAAGAATTCTTGAGACATTGTCAGTGCAAAAAGGGTTGTTTTATTAAAGCATGGGGAGAGGACCTGGGGCAGAAAGCGCTGCCCTAGAGTTGTGAGGAGTGACTCATTATATACTTTCAAGTTGAGAGGGGGTTAGGGATAGTGTAAGTCTCTAGGGAATTTGGAAGCAAGGGTTCCAGGACCTTGCAGAATCATTTACTACTGTCTACTAAACCTTAGTTACGAGACCCTTCAGATGGATATCAGTGGGCCATATGTTTGGAGATGATTGCTAACATATCTTGGGGCAGGTTGTAAAGATAAAGGAAGTTTCCAAAGGGATTTTCATATGTTAAAGAAGACTTGTAGGATCCTGGAGTTTTGGCTAATGTCAAGGTAATGTTACCATTTGCCCTTAGCTAAGTATTCATATCTAGGTGGTTGAGTTTCTGGGGGAAGTTTACTCTGCCTGTCACCTGGAGAGGTGACATGGACTAAAGTGAAAAAAGACTGAGTTAGGAAAACTACTTAAAAAAAAAAAAAGGTCATGGTAGTCCACACACAAAGGAAACAAAACACGCAAACTTAGTTCAAGGTGGTCACAGTCGGTCTGGACGGCTTCGGTAGGTGCTCTGCGTGTCAGCCCCCAGGCCACCTTGCTGGGCCTGAGCAGCACACATCACGGGGCTTCTCTGATAATCTAAGGGGCAGACAGCTGTGAGCGTGCTTGGAAAAGTGTAAAGTTGGGTGTAGGCATCAGAGCTGCTCGTGCAAAGGATGGGCTGAAGTGGCATAAAAAATGCAGGGGTTCAGCCACTTGGTAGGAGGATGTAGGAGGTGTGGGATGAAAAGGAAAGAAGTGGGAGTGGGCAACTAAATGTCTAGACTCTGGAACCACATCCCAGCACTGCCACTTATAAGCTGTGGCGTCTGGGAAATTTTCTCCACAGCACGACAGAACCGATTGGGTTGGTAAACATTCAGATTCTTGGGTTCTCAGGTTCTCTCTGCTGAGCCTGTGCGTCCGAGAGTTTGGGATGGGGCTGGGGCAGATGCTATCTGATGCTGGGCCCTGTCAGGTCTCCCTCTAGGGAGGCTGTTTTCTCTCTCCCTGGGCTGAACATCCAGATTCTAACCGGCTGTACTTCTCAGGTTGCTCCAGGAGGGACATCAGAGGACCCACAGAAAGCCTATGGAAAGGACATTCTAAGAGAAGCACCGTGCGAGGCTTGCCTCCGGGGCAGCTGGATGGTGAGTCAGAGCTGGCCCATCCCCTTGGCTTGGAGGAAGCAGGGCCAAGGGCAGGTGGCCAGTCCAGGGTTGTAGGGACATGGAGAAGCTGTGAATGGCCCTGGGGTTGGATGAGTAGCTCATCTCTGAAAATAAAGGAGTCCCATTTCCATTTCTGTTTAACAAGACAGGGGTCTTTATCTAATTTCATGGTTCCAACACATGAGAGACTGACTTAAAAGTCCCTATCTCAAGTGCTCTTAAATGTTGGGGTAAGCCAAAATCAACCCCCAGAGCTTGCAGAATGGGAAAAATCCCAGGTTCCCTCGGAGACATGGGGTACACTCCAGGAGTCTGATCTTTAGCAAACCTCTTGAGAGATTCAAATAATGCAGGGTTTGTGAAGACCAGGCTTTGAGAAGCCCTGCTCTGCAGCCTCTGGGACACAAGGAGCAGGCGCGGGGCGGGGGGAGTGGGGGAGGGGTGCAGGGAACAGCCTGCTGTCAGCAGCCAGCCCTGGGAGTTCCCATCAGCCTCCTCAGCTCTCTAGTGACAGTGGGTGAGGTGTAGAAAGTGACAATTGCCAGCTCCTCGGTGCTCCCTCTGCGCAGGGCAATTCAGATGCATTTGGTTCATTGATCTCCCTTGAGGCCGGTGCCCTTATCACATTCCTCATCCTTTGCAGATGCGGAATGGGAGGTGGGCGGACCTACACAAATTGTGTAGCTAGTGAGTGATGAAAGCCGCAGCAAAGCCAGAGCCAGGTGTGCACCTCCGTGTCCCAGTAAGCCCTTCCCGGCCCGAGAACTGGGAATGCTGGCGAGCGATGCCCGGCAAATGCTCAGAGAGCTCGAGTGTGGGTGCACACTGGTCGGGCCGCAGCTTCCTGGGGAGTCGAGCAGTGTGTGTGCTTCCTGCACGGTTGTGTCCCCCCAGCAAGCTGGACTTGGCACCGACAATAACAGTGACACGGTGAAAACGGTCCAAGGATCCAGGAGATATTTCTTAAGCTGAACTATCAAGGAGCCCAGACTTGGAGAGTTCCTACCTAAGATGTAGATGTTCTTGCCAGACCAGAAGGGAGGATCCAGAATGAAGTGCTTCTGAAAAGACCAAAGCAAAGCCAGATGTCCCGCTACACAGCCAGTGTAAACTCCCCTCCCGTGGTTGACACCCCCCCCCCAACAGGAGGGCCCTACAGAGATGTACAGAGGACCCCTGGGAGCAGTCAGAATGAGCTAGGGGTCCCCTGCTGCCCCTCACTGATGGGACCCCCAGGAAGCTGTACCCGGTTTCCTCCATGGTAAGATGGGGACAATAATACCCCACAAGGTAGTTGTGAGCCTTTAAAAGATGTCTATTGTGAAGGACTTAAGCCAGTGCCTGAAGCCCAGGTGGTACTCCATGAATAGGGCTCACTGTCACGATGAGGACACTGGTGAGGAACGTGGTGACTCCACCAACACTTTGGGTGGGGGGACTGACTCTCTCCCAAAGACTGGCTCGCTGTGCAGCTCGTGGAAGGCTCTGGCAGGTGTTCGGGTCGTGTCGAGGTGTACTTTGAAGGCATATGGCACACCGTGTGTGACGACTTTTGGGACAAGAAGGAAGCACAGGTGGTGTGTCGGCAGCTGGGCTGTGGGACAGCCGTCTCCGCCCCGGGAGAGGCCCACTATGGCCAGGGCTCAGGCGCCATCCTTCTGGACGATGTGCAGTGCTCGGGGACTGAGGCCAATCTGGGGCAGTGCTCCCACGCCGGCTGGTTCACCCACAACTGTGAGCATGGGGAAGACGCCGGTGTCACCTGCTTGGGTAAATGCCTTCCTCTCTTCTCTGGGACTTGAATTGCCATTTTTTTTCCCTCAGTCATGTCCTCAGTATCTTCCCAACACAGCCAGACACCTTAATCTTTTTTTTTTTTTAAAGATTGAATGATTGATTGGTTGATTGATTGATTGATTTCAGAGCGAGAGAGAGCACACAGAGGGAGAGGGAGAAACAGACTCCTCACTGAGCAGAGAACCCGACATGGGGCTTGATCCCAGGACCCTGGGATCATGATCTGAGCTGAAGGCAAACGCTTAACCCACAGAGACACCCAGGTGCCCCAAGGACACCCCAAATATAACCCCCAAATTTTTGTGTCTATTTGAGAAGCCAAGGTCAGCGTATTGCAAAAAAAAAAAATTCTCTAGGTTTGAATCAAAAAGGCTTAGTCCAGTCACAGGATGGACTACATCACTGCAGTTCCCAGTGCAAGATGAAAATGTGGGTCTCCTTTTTCAGAGATTACTTAAGAATTTCAAGACAGCAACAGCCAACAGTAGAGCATTAGAACTCCGAGTGGGTGACCCTGAGTAACAGCAGGGGCATTGAACATCCTTAATAGATGTGTCCCCCATGCCTCCCCTTCCTCTTAATGTGTGTTTTTGCACATTACTTCTCCTTTAACACAATGGAAATAATCATATTAATAATAGAAGCACCCCAAACAATGGATTTCTTCCCTCCCACCCCCACCCCCCAACCATGAGGGAAGACACCTGTTAATTCTGATCCTTCACCTGTCATTTCATAGCCAATGATGCTGTGCCAGATATCTCTGCTTTTTGAGGACCTCTATCTCCTAGAGACCAAGTAACCATGTTTCTAATAAGCCATCTCTGCATGATGGGCAAGTTCAGGGGTCAGGAGCCAGTGGCAGCCCCTTCCTTGACCCTCAGCTGCCAAATATCTCAGAGTTGGAGGAGACCACGCCCCTACCCCCCAGATCGTCCTTCCAAACCTGGCATGCCAGAAAACAGATTCTAAACCATTATCAACTAGCCAAGAGCCAAGCACTCATGCATTCAGAAAAATTGCAGAAGGCTTGGCTATCCAGCATTGAACACAATGTCCCTGTCCCATGGGATTGACTTCCAGACTATTCCACGTGCCAGCTTCTGTCACAGAGCAGCAGACTCCCCTCACTTGGTGGTGGTGGCGACCAGACCCTGCCCTGCTGGGACCTTTCCCACTGCAGGTGACTCTGTCTTGAGAGCTGGTTAAATGGGTAGAAGAGAATTTCAGTCCATAAAATCAATGTTCCCAAGGCCTCTTCCTGGTTTGCAGGGGAAAGGCAGCCCCAGCCCCTCTTCCTGAACCCCTAGAACTCACTTTGTGAGCTTCCTGTGAGTCCTCAGGACACACAGAGTTGACCGGGTGTCATCTTTGCCTCATCTGGGCACTCCAGGTAGCCTAGGAAGTTGCAGGAGGACTCTCCCAGTCTCTTAGGCAGCAAGTCCTTGGGCACGGCCCCTTGATGGGAGTTAGTTGCTAACTAACAGTCTAGTTAGCAAATTATCATAAGAATCTGACTTCAGGAGACACCTGGGTGGCTCAGTTGGTTAAGTGTCTGCCTTTGGCTCAGGTCATGATCTCAGGGTCCTGAGACTGAGCCCTGAGTCAGGCTCCCTGCTCAGCAGGCAGTTTGTTTCTCCCTCTCTCCCTGCCCTTCCCCCTGCTCATGCTGGCTCTCTCTTTATCTCTTTATCAAATAAATAAACAGAGTATTTTTTTTTTAAAAAAGAATATGACTTCAGGGAAATTTAAAAAACGCTTTTTAAGTATAGTTTTAAACAGTTGGTCTCAACTGGGGATGATTTTGTTCTCCGGGGGACTTTTGTCAATGTCTAGAGACATTTTGACTGTGAATGGGGGTGGTACTGGCATCTTAGAAGTCAGGGACACTACTAAACGTCCTACAACACACAGGTCAGCCCTCCACCACGAAGAATTTTCTAGTCCAAAATATCAATAGTGCTGTTTCTTAAACTCTACTTTGGAATCAAGCATGTGCAGTTGATTTTGTTTGTTTTAATAGGTATGTATTAATAATGAATTGATGGTGAATTAATTATTGCTTTACTAATAAAAGCAAAGCTGTTAATAGTTCCTTCCTCGAGTGTTAACCTCAATCCAGATTTTTTCCATTAATTTCCTCTGATTAATCTACTGATTAAAGTTGTTTGAGTTTATCATTTGGGGGGAAAGAAAATCTAATTTCTTTCAAATATGATATTTTAACAGATTTATTGGCTCTTTATTATAACCTTAGCATGTAAGGTATTCCAAATCTGAGTACACTGAGTCACTTGATGGTTTGCCTGAGAGACTGCCTCAAAGTGTGAACCCTGTCGGGGCATGGAGCAATTTCCAGTTTTCCAAGCACCTTCCCTCTGTTACACCATTTCATCGTCACACAATTCAAGCAGGCTTGTTTCATGATCCTTGTTTCATAAATAGGTAAACGGAGGCTCAGTGACAAGGTTAAGTCAAGGTCAAGTACCTTGGCCAAAGTCACATGGCAAATATCCAGGCCTCTGGACTCCACCTCTGGTGCTGTCCCCTTCACTAAGTCCGCTGCATGCTGGAAAGCACCCTGACTCCAGGCAAAATTGGCAAATGTTCCAAGTTGTCTTGCTGCTCTGAGAGCAGCCTCACTCTTCCCTCATATTTTAAGCCCCTCACCCATGCACATGCCCTAAGCCTGGCATGCACTCGTGTGCCCTTGAGTTGAACCACCCTAATTTATTTAAACCAGAGCCTCCAGACCCACCTTCCAACATCATCAAAACTGAATGTCACCTGGGGAAATGAGCGATTGACCATATGACGAGGGAATGAATGTCCATATGTTAATGAGCTCCCATGTTCTTCAAACAAATGCCCCAAACATCACAGCCAGGGTGGCCTGCCCTGAGCACAGACTCCTTTGGAAATCATTTATCTTCAAGAGTCACTTAGAGTTTTATCTCCAAGTTACAACACAATCATATTCATCACAATATGAAAACCAGTGTTTAAAATCCTCCACATAAGGTAACGTTGGTCACCTAAGATGCACCTGTCTGGCCTGCAGGTGTTCCCACCCCCAAGGTCAGGGAGGACCCTTAAACAAACCAACCTTAGTTGAGTGTACTGGGCTATTCCTGAGCATAGAGTCCAGACTAAGATGTCTGCTTTTCAACGAATATTGAAAATAGCATAAAGGTCTTTCCTTCCAAACTTCCTTTTTGGAATAACCACATAGAGCACAAATTCCAGGCTGAACTCTTTCACTAGGATCATAGCAGGGGGACAACAGCCAATCCAGCCAGCAAGCACAGGGCATTCCAGAATGTTTGTCCTCTTTCAAGAAAGACTCATTTTATACAACTTTTCTTTTCTTTCTCATAGAATATGAACGTGAAACTTCAGGAGCTTTTGGTAAGAATCACACTGTAGTATATCTTTAAGGGAACCTCCCCAAATGTCCCCAATCCTCTGATTTTATAATACAACCCATGTGGAAGTGGGGGAGGGCAGGAGACAAATAATGAATTTAATCAAAAGAACTCAACAAAGGAAAGGGGGAAAAAAGGCAGCTTCTCTGCTTTATCTATGGTATAGAGGAAGCCTTTTCTCCCCAAACTGTTTTGTTCTCATTGCCTAAATGTATTTCAGAAAATTTTGGAGTGAGGATACAAATATGATTTAATAAATTATCATCCAAAGTCACAGCTTAACTGAAATTGTATTTTAAAAAAACCCAACTTCAGATTTTCAGCAAATTCAGAAATAAATGGAAAAAAGCTCACTGTTTCTGGTTAACTTGAACCCTAAGACACCTTCCTTCCTTAGAAGTCTCTTCATAAGCCAGAGGCATACACTCTTGTAAGCACCTGACCCTTCTGCCTTTCTGGCAGAGGCACATTCCCACAAGGGATCCCGTTTAAAAGAACAATGTGTGAGTGGCTCTGCGCTTCCCAAATACACAATCACGTTTCACGTGCCACTGATCAGAATGAACCTGTCGAATCCAGTCCCCAAGTTATGCTCATAGCTCAGCGTCTACTCCATGAGGTCACCCTTAGCTCAGTGTCGGCCCCGTGAGCCCACCATGTCCATGCGACGCTCCCCGTAAACTTGGGTGGAGTCTTTGGGATGGCAATGACACCTCATCTCTTCTCTCGTCTCTCAGATGCTGAGATCCTAACACCATTCCCCGGTGGTGAGTCAAGGTTTTCTACCTCTTCATTTCGTGTGGTTTGGTGGGTCATGTGCTAACAAACAGAATGATTCCATCTGGGGAATCTCTATGTATTCACCTCACTCATAAGCCTCTGCTATTTTTAATGAACTGGGGAAGCCTCTGCCTCCTCCCATCCTTCTTTGTCTACTAAGCTCCTTCCTACTCTTTGTCCAAGACCCGGGTCCCTAATCTCTTCTTAGAAAAGATAGCCTGGAACCCCCACTCCCATATACACTCTCAAAACACTACAAAACACTACACTACAGTACACTCTCCCCCTCTGCCTCTTAGCATCTAGTGTAATTGTACATCTAAAAACTTAATTTTGGATTAATGCAATTACTTCCTCCAGTCCCCACAAATTAGACTTCAAACTCTGTGACAGCAAAACCAGGTGTGCTCTGTGAACTGTGATATCTGCAGTGCCATCTGGGGTGACCCGGGGCCTGTCCACAAATATGTGTTATGGGTGAATGCAGAATGTGTTCCTTCTCCTAACATGTAGTGTTTTTGTGTCTCTGAAAGACTGGCCACAATTGCAACTGGTGAATGGCTCAGGCAGATGTTCTGGACGTGTGGAGGTTTTCTACCATGGCCACTGGGGCAGGGTTTGCGATGACCGCTGGGACATGAATGAAGCTGATGTGGTGTGTCGGCAGCTGAACTGTGGCCATGCCCTCGCAGCCCCTGTGAAGGCTCAGTTTGGCGAAGGAGAGGGCAAGTTTCTGCTGGATGATGTGGACTGTACAGGAAGAGAGAGTTTCCTGGGACAGTGTCCCCATTCCGACTGGTCCGTCCATAACTGTGGTCCTGGAGAAGATGCCAGTGTCGTCTGCTCAGGTAATGGTCACCTCTCTCTCCGAGGGTGCTCATGTCATTAAGCGGGTGGCATCTCTGTTAATCCCCTAGTGACGCTTGCACCTGTGTAATCACAGACCATCTCTGACCACACATATGAGCCGAGAGTAAAGAGACGTGGGTAATTCAAGAGCGTCACCTTGAGCTCGGGAATTTCCAGCCACAAGATGTTGAAATGGATTTTTTTTTTAATGGAGAAAAATAGTGGAAGATCTTAGTGGTTCTATTACGAGGACTAGATTTCAAAATGACTGATAAAAGACAAGTAAGTCAACAGGGCCATTAATCACTCACTGAAAGCCATCTACCTTTCTTCAGGACACTGTAGGTCTAAAAGGTAGTTTTTCCCACTAAAAGTTTGCAATCTAAGGAAAGAGAAGAAACTGAGAGTTTATAAATTAGAAATAGCACAGAGTTTTGTCCTGTTGATGGTGAGTCCAGGCCATGTATTGCTAATCGCAAGTCTTCAACCAATTACTAATTACTGTGATCATTCCAGACCAGTTTTTCAGTCTCAGCACTACTAATGTTTGTGAACGCATACTTGTGGAAGGGCCTGTCCCATGTATATGAGCTATTTAGCATTATCCCTCACCTGAACCAACTGAATGACCCCGCTGCCTCCAACTTTGGCCACCAAAAATGTCTTCAGACATGGTCAAATGTCCCTTAGAGCGTGTGGGATTGCTCCTGACTGAGAACTGGTCTAGACATAATTTCCACCAAATACATGACTAGTATAATGAGGAATATACTACCAATGCTGAAGACATAAATGCGTATGCCAGTGGGATATAAAGAAAAAAACTTAGTGGGTCTAGAACAGTGAACTTCGTCACGTGCTAAAAATTTCAATCGTACCCAACCAGAAAGACTGTATTCATATTACACTAAGGTAATTAGCAAGTTAAGTCAATTCAAACAGCAAAAATATTGGGGGGAGTGTTGCTTTGTTTTCATCTATTTTTTATTTCTCTTTTCCCCCCTTGACTTGGCTTTGTTTTATTTTGATTACATAGTTGGAGTTTTGGTTTAGAATTTCATCAAAGCAGTCTGTTCTACAAAGCCACTGGGTTCCTCCCTGTCTCATGTGTGTGATGAATGTCTGCCTGTTACTTAGAGGTGTTATAGAGTCTGCGGGGCAGAAACAGCACAGGCACAGCTGCGTGAAGATGTGTTGTTAGACACACTGTATTAACAAACATGGTTCATTAAAATCATCTGAACTAAGGCAGGGAGAATCAAAATTTTTATATATGAGAATCACATTCTTTCATGTTAAAATTCATTTTGAATTGAAGTATCTCTGGAAACAACTTCCCTTTTCCAACATAAGTCTTTCTTCTCCCACATATTCACAGAGACTGAGTACTTCAAGCCTGCTTTGGGTAAGTGCATGCTTTTGTTTTATCGACATGCCATTTTTCATTCTATGTGCTACCTGGCCAGGTAATACGTAGATCATAAAAGAAAAAAAGGGAATAATGGTGGAAGGGTTTGGATTGCCATATTTTAACAGTCATTATTTGACATTTGCACACTCCTGGCCTATTAAGATGATCCTACCATTAAACTGAAAATATGGTTGGGCCACTTTCTTCCTTCAACAAAATTTAGCTTGATTTTCATTTCAGTCATGAGGGTTTTAATGTTTTCTCTGGTATTGATCTTTTCACCCAGTGGGATTGCAGTTAAAAGCATTGTTAAGGAAATACCTTGGTAAATTATTTGTGTAGCCTGTACAACTCTGCAGCATATGTTCTTTCCCACTGTGTGTCTTTTATGACTGGAGGAGGGAGTGAATACTTTCACAGGTTAACAGCCACTGAATTCTCAACCCCTCTCCCTACAGAGAATGCAGAGGAATCACCGCCAGCATCCCAAGGTAGGAAGTATTTTCATGTTGAATTTGCAGTATTTGACCTTTCTTCATGCAAATTTTCCTTTTGGTTTAAAACCAGAAGGTTTTTTTTGTTGGGATTGCTGAACCAAACTTGAAGGGAGCAACATATCACATATTTTGTATCTAAAAGATCAATTTATCGGTGTACTAGGAAACTGGTGAGTTCTGAAACTAGTAAACCCAGGGGGAAAATGTTCAAGATAAGCCTGTGTAACCAGCCCCAGTGGGCCCTGGGATGAGGGAAGGACAATGGGTTTGACGAGAGGTGGTTTGAGTTTAAGTTCATCTCTGCCCCTTGCTCGGTATGACCCTGGGCAAGCCACTCTTCCCTTTTTTAAAAAAGGAGATAAAAACACTTCACAGAGCTCCATTTGAGTTAAAATGAAGTCATGTACATGGAATGAAAACAAGAGCCAAATTTCATTGAGTGCAAAGGATATCCTAGGCATTTTTCTAAGACCCTGGCCTGCACAGTTATTGTTTCATTCTCTCATTCGGGGATCAAGAAAACTTCTCTGTAAGAGTCAGATAGGAAATCTCCGAGGCTTTGTGGCTGGAGGTTCACTGCTCCGCTGCTGCAGCATGAAAGCGGCAGCCAGCACAGTTGGTAAGCTGCTGGGGGGCACACCTGTGTTCCCAAATACTTTACTTGCAAAATAAGCACTGGGCTGGATTTGAACCACAGGCTTCAGTGTCCCGACTCCGGTTTGAATGAATTAATTCTAAACGCTTTGCATGCATGACTTATTTAATTTTCATAACAACCTTATGAAGTAGGTATGACTATAATTCCTGCTTTATCTTGGTGAGAAAACTGGAGCATAGAGAAGTTAGTCAACTCGAGTGCCCAAGGCCAAGAAGTTAGCAAGAGGCACAGTTGCTGGTCCGTTAGATTATGATAACTTGCTTGGTTTTCATGGAGGGTTGATGTTAAAAATAGACACATTCTTCCCACTCTGTTAATTTCTTGAACCAGAAGCCATCCCACCTGTTCGCTTTCCCTCCACACACAACCAGTGCCTCAGAAACTTCTCAGGCTCTACTTCCGAAATGTATGTTAAACCCATTACCATCTCCCAACTCCGCTGTTAAAACTATTCTCCAAAACCAGCATCTCAAATTACTGCAACGACTTTCTAAGTAGTCTTCTGCATTCTCTCCTCTCCATCACACATGGAATCTGTTCCCGGCACAGAAACTAAAACTGGCTGGTAAATCATAAATCAGACCATTCCTCTTAACTCAAAGCCCTCCAAAGGCTTTCTGTTATATTTGGAACGATGTCCAGATTTTTCACAGGGACCTGCAAGACTTGACAGGATCTAGTCCTCGTCTGTTTCTGACCAGTGAGAAAACACCTCATCTTGTGCTGTGCTTCCTACTGGATTTTTTTTTTTTTTCACCATGCCTTGAAACTGACAAGGTAGTACTCACCTTTGGGTCTTTGCACTGGCTCTTCCCTCTGTCTGGAAGGCTATTCTCCCAGATTTTTCCTCAGCTGACTCCTTGTAATCAGGTCTCAGCTAAGACATCACTCCTTCAAGAGAATTCCCCCTGAATATACAATCCAAAATAGATTCCCTCTTAGTCATGCTCTGTTTTATCAACCTCTTGCTTATCTCCTTATAGTATCTAGACCATCTGGGATTGTCTTTAGCTTCCTTTTGTTCACCTACATCATGTGCCCTTTCCACTCCACTTTCCAGAACATGACTTTTATGAGAGCAGGCTTGGCAAGTTTATGTCAGAGCCAAGGACAGTTCCTGGCACGTAATAGGTTCTAAATAAATATCTACTTAATGGAGAAACAAGAGACACATGCTAACATGCTGCCTCTCCTATAAAACTGGTGTTGAAGGCAATGTATTCGTCACTAGCCTGCTCAGCGATCCTCAAGCAAAGACAATAACTTCATTTAGGAAGATATCACTTATCAGGCAATTCTGCCTCCTACAAATTATTTATTAAGAATAATTCCATTGTGCACCATGAATTCCATCTCCCTTCAAATTCCAGGAATTTCAGAGCTTAGCCAAATAATCAGTTCTAATAATTAGCTACGAGTTTTATTGGTTAGTTATTGGCTGAATTAGTTAGTTGGTTGTTTTTCTACTAATTTCTCTTTTGTTCATGTAGTCACTAAACTTGTATTCCTATTTCTCTGGTTTTGCTATGAAGATATATATGTCCTACTATCAATCATTGGAAATCTGTGGGAAGGTATATTTACTCAGATTAATAGAAATGTTCACCAATGGTCCAGGAAGAACATACCATGCCACTGGGTCCTGTGGGAAGCATGAGCTGAGAAAGCAGGTCAGAAGAAAAGAGGCCATGGCCTTCCTGCTTACTTGTTGTTGGGAACCACTTCCCTGAACAGGCAGGGGACCCCAGCTTCCAGGAATCCTGGCTTACTCTTGATGTGTGGGCACCCTGAAGATTAGCATCACATATTAAAGCTATTACCTCCAGAGTCTCTTCAAAACAATCAAATCAGCAAATACTTCTGGGATTCTATCATGTCCAAAGGACTATATTTTGCCAGTTCACTAAGTTTTTTTTTATTATTAACATATAATGTATTATTTGTTTCAGGGATACAGGTCTGTGAATCATCGGTCTTACACAATTCACAGCACTCATCATAGCACATACCCTCCCCAATATCCATAACCCAGCCACCCCATCCCTCCTATTCCCCTCCCCTCCAGCAACCCTCAGCTTGTTTCCTGACATTAAGAGTTTCTTATGCTTTGTCTCCCTTTCTGGTTTCATATTGTTTCATTTTTCCCTCCCTACCCTTTTAATCCTCTTGTCTTTTTTCTCAAATTCCTTATATCAGTGAGATCATATGATAATTGCCTTTCTCTGACTGACTTACTTCACTTAGCATAATACCCTCAAGTTCCATCCATGTCATTGCAAATGGCAAGATTTGAGGGTTTTTTATGGCTGCATAATATTCCTGTGTGTGTGTGTGTGTGTGTGTGTGTGTGTGTGTGTGTATACACACACCACATCTTCTTTATCCATTCATCTGTTGATGGACATCTAGGTTCTTTCCATAGTTTGGCTATTG